GCATTCATCAAGAGGTAATAAAATTACAGAAGTGTCAGCTCCACAACCCTCCCTAATAGCCCCATATCAGCTTGGGGCCAGTAACAATTTAGCAATTGCCCTCCTATTCCACCTTGACTTAGGCCCTAAAATAACTTTCTAGCACATCTAATTTTTCCCAGTTTAGCTTAAGTCACAAAAAGCAGTGAGGGAGAGGAACAGTAATAGAATTTGGGCTCTTTCCTATATCAGGGAGGCAAAAGCAGCCACATGGCCATCTCCTTCAAACACTGTGCTGTAGACGTGGCTTTGTAACACTGATTAAGATTAGATTCCAAAGGGCAGTGTTTACTTTATGAGAGCTGGAAATCCTTGCTCATATTTCCAGGGAGGGGTACTATTAGCCAGCTGCCTAGAATGGGATTTATACCAATTCTTGGCCTGTTACCTTGAAGGAACTGACACTTGGGATGTTTTGCCTGTGGGGATTTCTTTCTACCTTGAAATCCTTTTATCTCAAATTTTGGGTTATTGAGAGAATTCAGAGACAGTTGCAGGTTCTCTGCCTGTTTATGCCTTTACAGTGGGAGGGGAGTTGGGGGGGTGACACAGGGCACTAGAGTGGTACCAATGGCCAGTGGTATTCAGAGATGTCCATCTTGCCTGCATTAGGCACACGTACACCTGGAGTGGGATCCATATGGACAAAACCATCTCTGAGAAGCTCATTATTTCATAGATAAGTAACCATTCTGTTATGCTAGTGCTAGCACTAAAACAGTAGTTAGTTGTAAGCAGTAAATGCAGATGCTCAGATGTTTTTTAGAATGTTGTTTCAATATAAAAACTCTTTGAAAAGCCCCCAAGTATTTTTTGTGTAGACTTGAAAGTATGCAGCTGACAACTAACTTCACCAGCAACATTTACAAAAAAGACAGACAAATGTAACAGGAAGTTCATAGATTTCTTGTTTTTAAGTATGATTTTCTTTTGAATAGTGGAGAGCATTTGGGGTTGGAATTGAAGTATTTAAAGAAAAGAGAAGACAGCATTCCTTTACGGGGGCTGAGCCAGAACACACTTAATAGCTCAGGTAGGAACAGACTGTCCTATTAAAGTGTAAAATATTCAATTTTAAAAAGTACCTTCCAGAAGTCCGAGCAGCTTTATATCCCAGGAAGATTAACTTATTTCCTCTTTACTTGCAGAATATCCAAAATCCTATTCATCAACAAAAATACAAACTTCATCAAAACCTGTAGTACCTTCAACAGCCTCTGCTTATTTCCCTGGATAATGGACAACGTAGTTCTAAAATGAAAACTATTCTACCAGTTATCTAGGATCGGCTTGATGGTATTGAGTATAATTATCCCCTTAAAGGTAAAAGTATCAAAATGGTACGGTAATCCCCTGCAAAACTGGTTAACTTTATCTGGTTAACATAGCTATAAATTATGCTATGGGATTGCACAGAAAAACAGATAGATTTAATCAGATGCTATATATAGATTTTCAGTCTATGTTCTAGCCAAAACAGTAATGCAGAGGTGAGAAACAGCTTTGTAGCTTATTTTCATGTGGAAAATATCTTTATAGATGATCACTTTTAAAAAGTTTGAAGGCTTGCAGAGCTGTTTTTGTCAAGGCAGTAGGTCCCCTACCCCAAAAAATCCAAATGAGTGATTGCCATTATTATGCTGGAACTGAGTCATGCCTGGAACTATTTTCTTCCTTCCCTGAAAACAATTTGTGCTTTTAGGAACCTAGTACTAAATGCTATCCTGAATGGTGCACACAACCCTCAGCTTTCTCTGAAATCAGCAGGAACTGTGTTGGGCAGGTTGTGGCTGTAGGAAACTAGCCAGGCTCTTCCCAGAATAAGTGTTTATTTGGCGACTGATTCTAATGTCTTCCAGAGTGGAGATTAATCAGTCTGTGGAGCATTTGAACATAATTACTCTGGACTCCCTAGCCCCTATATAGATGTTTGTACCAGTGTAGTGACACAGATAATATCAAGAATGGGAAAGACTAGTGGCTACTTCCTTTCTATGCTGGGTTTTGACCATGTTGATCTGTGTTCTGTGCAAACCTGTTGGCATTAGTCCTTGAATGAAACCTACACTGTGCGCTTGGCTGTATGGAGTTTTTCTGTTTCGTGCAAAGGGCTGGTACCCTTCAGGGAATTATCCCAGGAATTGATGTGTCACATGAAAAACTGTTCTCATCATAGAAATCCACTTACAAAGCATGTAAAGGCTTAACTTGACCTATAAGATTTGTCAATGAAGCAAACTGAACCCAATTCTTAACAGACTTGAAGTTTGCTCATTTCAGTTTTTATACTTATCCTGATTTTGAATTTTTTTGGCAGAATTTTCTTGTAAAAAGTCACTGCCAAACCGACACAGACAATAATAAATTTATATTAAATGATAACCACTATTTTTAAATATAACTGAAGGGATTTATATGTTGTACCACTAGGCAAACTATGTAAACAGAAATTATTAAAATGAAATAAGGTATAAAGCTGAGTTGCAGCTAAATATTTCATATTCCTTGTTGCAGCTTTTTTTTTGTATCAGTTTCTCACTAACTGGGTTCTGAATGATAGGATGCAGTCTGTAAAGTGTTGAAAGCAGTTTACATTATGTTACTGCAGCAACAATACTATACATAATGCATCCAGGAAACTAACACTAAGATTGATAGAGTGAAGATGCATGTATGTTTTAGGTTTTTTGCTATGCTTGAGTCCATTACTACAGTCATGCTACAGTGCCTGTTTAAGTTCCAGTGAGTGAACTGAAGGTTGGAGAAACTACTATATTTTCTCAGATTTAGCATACTATTTATAGGAGTATGCACCTGGATTCTGGAGGGGAGCCTAATGGGGAAAAAAATCTTTGATTGAAGTGAGTGGTGGCAACTGTGGAGCTAAGCCTACTCCCAAGCCAGCCATCAGCCCCACCCCATGAGAGGGATCTTGTGGACCAACCTAGTGCACTGGGTCTGCACACTATGTCCAGCCCTTCACATTGGTGCAGAGCCAAGGCCCTGGGCTGACCCTGTGCTGGTTCTGGGGCCATGTGCCTAGTCCAGGACTACACTGGCTTTGGAGCTACATGCTGGTCCTACCTGGCATGGGGCCCCAGATCCAGTGCTCAGACCTGGCACGTTGCTCTGGAGCTAGCATGTGGGGTTGGACCAGGCATGCTGGGTCTGAGGCCTTGTGACTGGTAAGACTTGGCACACCTGATCCAGCCACAGACCCACTAACCCTGCATGTTGACCTGACTGGGTTTGTGGCCAGGAGGGAATCGCCACTGGTCTGGAAAGCTGGTAGTGTTAATTGCTATGGCTCCCAATTAAGTGCTGCTAGCACTCTTCCCTCCCCCTACCTCATACCCAAGGTCATGTTTCCCTTGCATATGATGTGGAGGAGGGGTGGGCTATACAAGAGAAAATGCAGCGTATATGTAAAGTAACCAAAAAAAGGACCAGCTTTTCTACAGTTTATGGTAAACTGTATTGTAATACCAAACTAGAGATAACTGTCTAGTTTTAAACTGTAATACAGTAAAGCCACTTAAAAATGTCTTGGACTCTGTTTACATGCTTCTTGGTTTAAAATGTTATTTGGTTTCAGACTGTCTTCGTTGTTACGTTTAGAGTGGTTATCACTCTAGTTTTTTGCACATTACTGTCCAAATGACTTGTATATGTAAAGATGTTTTGCTGTGTAAAATTTGTACATGTATTTATAATCAGACTGTATTAATGTATATCCATTTGCTTTTGGAAGTGTTAAGGTTAATGGAAAATATTTAATAGCTTATCAGTAAAAGGCTACTTTTGTTTCCCTCATCCGTTGCACTAAAGAGCAGAAAAACAGTAACATTATAGTTATTTCACTGAAGCCTACAGCAGTTTGCCAGAAAGCATTTCAGGCACCTTGTCAACTGATTAGTTCATGTATTAGGCTTTACAAAACCATGTTGCACACTTCAATTTATATTTTGAGCGTTTGTCTGGAGCAGAGAAAATGACTTAAGCAGGGTGTGGAGTATGTCCAGCAGGTTACAAGTCACATAATGGAATCAGTTCTATAGATTGCCTATGATCTAGAATATAATTGAAGGCATTAGCAATTATTTAAAAATTCATTAAAATAGTCAACTTTATTCACATATTTTCCAGCTTTTAGTTAACCATGGCAAATGTTCAAAGTTAAAAAAGCACTGAGCAGTAACCACATAAGATGAAAACATTTAAAACTATACAGTACTTTATACACAAATTTATACAAAGGAACACTTAAATAATACAACTGGACACAAAAATATACATTTTAGAGAAATAAATTCACATCAGTAATTGTATAAAGCTCTGTTGTGTACTAGGGTCCTGAAAGTTTAGGACTAAAACATTAGCTCTGCAAAATAAAAGTATTAACTGTGACAGTCCTGAAAGGCCACTATATAGTACATTGACATTTTCAAGGCTATCAACTTATATTTCACTTTGTATATTCAAGTTTTGAGGTTTTCATGATTATGCTCAGAAACAGTGGTATAATAAACTACTTAGGAAAGCAGGGCTTTAGAACCAATATTAAAAACTTATTGGCTCATAGCTTGCTATTTAAATACTCAGTATCTGATACATATCGTACTAAAAATAGAATTAAGAGTAACGCACTTACATAAAAAGAGTTTTCACTGTTCAATACGCATGCTCACGTAATTCTGTATTAATACAAACTTAAAAATTAAAAAAAACCCTGCCATACAGTGATTGTAAAATTAAAAAAAAATACCGTTTTCTTACTTGAGTGCATTTACATTAAGGCTTTGAATCACCTGACCCAAGATTTTCCAACATTAAAATTAATGGGTCTACATATATGCTAGTATGTCTCACTGAGACTTAGTATGAAAAGAATTAAAGCTCAACACCTTAAGAAAATGGGTGTAGGGACACATGCTAATACCTTGACTTTTTTTCCTTACATCTCTTGAGCTAGGATGTAAAGGTTAATATAATTAACAATATCAGGGCAAGAGACCAGTGCTTAATATTTTTTTAAAAGCAAATTAATAATTTAATTGTAACATCTTTGGAGAAATTTCCAGTTCCTGTTTGTAGTTCCTACAAGTTTCATGCATAAATTTCTTAAGATTATCTTAAGAAATCACATGCTTGATGGAATGTAATCTCCAGAACTGCAGGGGGAGGAGGGGGAGTCTTTTGAGTTTTGCTGTCATACATTTGTGTCTTGCAGTAAAGGTTCTTTGGCCTCACCAGGGGCCTGTGGACTGTGTGGATGGCTATGACTGCCACAGTGTTTCTTCCAATTGCTGGATCGTACAGTTAGATTAGTATGTTCAGGAATAAACAAGGCAACAAGGAGAGCTAACAGCACAGAGCATGCTCCAAACAAAAATGGTGGTCCAGGAATTATAGAGTTCTGAAAAGAACACAAAGGAACAGCTAATAAATTCAACATTCACACCAAGTTTATTACATGCTAAGTCCCCATGCTAATTATAGAGAAACCTGTTACAGACAGTTTTTTCACTTTCCTTTCCTCTCAGCAGGGAGAAGGGATTTCCCACTCCCTGAGATAAGGCAGAACACAGTTGGCATACCCAGTTAGACTACTGACTTCTTGGCTCTGTTCAAATTACAGAATTTTTAAACTGTAGAATTTTCCCTTGCCTTCACGAGAAGCGAGCCACAGACTACCTCACTTGGCTTTCAAATAGTTCTCAAATAGATGTATGTCATCAAGACAGGAAGCTATGAAGACTGAATAGCTGGTAGCATTTGCATTTCACTCCCTAGTTTACCTTTCCACAGGATTTCTGAAAACAGGGAAGTAGTACACAGCATAATTGCAGCAGCAGTCTGAAACTGCATGTTCCTAGTCAATCTTGTTCAGGCAGTTTTACCCTGCTGTAGACAACACTACGGCGTTGCCAAGGTTTCAAGCAAGGACTACTAAGGAGGAGACTACAAAATACAGGAGGGCACAAGATTAATGTGGTCTTGTATCAAATCCATCCCCCTACAATTTAAACAGCATCAGTTGGATTAAAAGCAGACAATTGGACATGGGGTGTCAACTGCTGTTATAAAACTTACAGGCTGCGAGTTAAGCTGATGGAAGACTACCGAAGTGTCCCCACCATCTTTGAAACAACCATTTCACTGTTGTAGGTATCCAGTGTCAATGTTTTGACATAAGGCACCATAAGTAATCATCTAGCTGCATAAAAAGAACTATGATCTAGCTGCCCGAGACTGTGCTCAGCTAGAAAGCTATTTTAAAAGTCCAGATTTGCTTCTCTAGTTTGTTACTCTTCATTCAAGCACTTCCTGATTTCTGTGGGAATACTGCAAGTAGACGGAGTAGTAAAGGTCATCCAGGTGAAAGCTTTAGCTAGTTGGGCAAGAGATCATTTTTAACATGGTATGGAAATCAATCTATAAAATCAGGCAGCAGTGGATCCAGGACTGTGCTGCACATGGCCTCAGAGTGGCTGGAGTGGGTGCCATCTGTGCCACATGCAGCACTTGTTCTGGCCATATTGGGACTTGCATGGGATGTAGCATAGAGCAGACTGCACACGATGCCTGCTCCAGCTGCTCTGGGTCATGGGCTGTGAGCCAGATGAGTTTGACACCTGATTAGAGCTAAGCTAGCCAAAATACTACATAATGTCACAAGGGAAACCCCAGCACTGGTATGATGAATGAATTGGATACTTTTTTTCCCTTCCAGATTTCTATGATTTAACTCTTCTGTATTTCTGCTGAATAAGAAATAAAGAGTAGCAATACCTGTTGTGAATGGTGTTGTGTGTCTATATTACCTTCCGGTTTAATATCAGGCACTGGAAGTTCACTCAGTTCTACATGGAATATGTAGAATATAAAGCCATAGAGTGCTGGTCCCAAACCATTACACAATCCTCGAATTCCTGTTATCATCCCTTGAACAACACCTGAAAGAAGCAGGATTCCACTAGGTTAACTGTAAAGAATGAAGACAGTTTTAAATGCTTTTTGAAATGTGTCCAATGGCTTTCTTTCTCTTTCCCCTTCACACTGATGCAAACTACAGGTAACTTCACTGACTGAGTTACACTAATGAGAGATGAGGAAAAACTCAGCCATAGCATTATATTGAGTTCTTTGTCCTAATACATACTTAAGACAGGATTTCCTATGCTGTAGCAGACCAAATGACTGATGTTTTGGGTCAGCTCTAGCCCCAGCTAGGCAGCAGCTCCAGTCCTGGCCTGGGTTGTGGCCAGAGGTGGAGCTGCAGCTGCTCCCCTGCCACTGCATAGCATCCGCCCACCACACCCTCCCTGCTCCCATCACCCAGTGGTCTCCCCAAGCTTCTTCCATTGCATGAGCCATCTCTATCAGGCAGCAGCAGTAGGAAACAGCTTTGGCTCACGTTACGGCCAGAGCCAGAACTGTGGCAGCTATGTGCCCTAGGCCAGTACCTGAATCCGAGACAAGGCTCTCCCACCCCCAACCCCATGTTGAATGGGAAAAGCACCTCATCTTGGATTCAAGTAAATATGGACATTTTTATTCTTAGGAGAGGTAAACTACACTAAATATTTTTCATTTATATTACTACACTATTGGCAAATTTGTCCTATAAACTGGCAAGAAGGCTACAATTAAGGATAACGCATTTGTAAGGGACAGCAAGCAAGACAGTTTCTGGCTTGAAGGATCCTTATTAAAATATTAGGACCTAAAAACATACCCTGTTGATCAGCATCAGCAGTTCGTGAAACCAGTGCACTTACTGCTGGGAACGTAATACTAGACATGGCTGCAACAGCCCCTGCTGCCCACATCATCCTGCAGAACAAGCAAGAGAGAGAATCAGAATGATCATTTTGGGCAGTGTTCTGCATTCTACTTTGTGTATTACAACAAATGTAACTGATTTGATCAAGTTAGCACATTCCTGTTTTTAAACTAATATATAATCTAGCCATTATAAATTAGTAATATATTCATATATTGGTGCTATGTAATTATTTTATTAAAAACACAAAGAGTGTAATAATGTAGTTGGAAAATAACCACTCCTTGTGAAAGGTCTGACATTTACAGGAAATTATTGTCCGTGAGGGGTTTTTTTTTTTTTGAGTAAACTCACACAAACCAGTTTTGTATGAAACAGAAAATCATCTTAAACGTGTCAAATCAGTCAAATATAAGAATTTAAATTTACATACCAGGGCTCTGAGCCAAAGCCATACCATGCCAGTTGTAATATTTGAAATCCTAGACCCAGTAAGATGGTGTTTTTATTTCCAATAGATCGCATAAGTAAACTCAAGACTATTGTCTGATAAGAAAGAAAGTCAACATTTTAATTGTAAGCATCATTACACAGCAACACGTGAAATATTTACTAGTTGAAGTCTCTTTTCTCAAGTTTGATATTAAAAGGCAAAGTAATCAGAAGGGTTGTTGCCTAGCCAGCAATGTACAACATCTTTTGAGATGGCTAACACCAGGGATGTATAAAACACCATGTTTTGATTATGCTGTACAAGCTATTTGCTCAACTAATGATAGTTTAAAGAACAAACAACTTCTAGGCCTCTGGGAAAACAGTTGAGGAAGATGGGGGGCTAAGGTTTAGGCACTCTGTTAGCATTTACAGTAACTGCGTTACAGTCCCAACTCTAACAGACTTCCCGTGTGAAGCAAGACAAGTCTTGCTTTTCCACATGTGTTAGCTACTCCTCTGTAACATGGTGACACTTCTCCCTTTCACAGATACTATGCCAACTGGTTGCCATATGCTTAAATGTTAAGTGATGGGAAAATGAGAAAGTGAAGTAAACTCATTCCTTTTTTATTCTACTCTAGAACTCCCAGTAACAGCTCAATTCCATTTGTAACTGCAGGTACAGGGACTCCCATCATTAGGTCTTACTTGCTACTATACCAGTAAAAAGTGGAGATGAGTATTCACCTGTGCAATAATGGAGAGAATGCCTAGGACTGCTATAAATGCTGCAACACTTTCAGACGAAAATCCCATTATCTACATTAGAGAAGAAGTAATTTGATCATTAAACCACAAGTAGATGTTAACATGTCACAGAACACTGAAGACAATAGAATGAATAAGGACATAAACAAAAAAAAGTATCAAGTGAAACAAAAGAAAGATTTTATTGGTGTTATTTAAAAATTTACCTTTGCATCAATCAAGAATATTTTCTATTTAAATCTTATTTAGAACTTGAAAGAAAACTGATCACAGGACACAGATAGCCTGAAAATTAGTTAACTGGTAAATGAATTATTAAGTTACTCTGATCCAGTGCAATGCAAGGGAAGGAGATTCATCTCTGAATAATAACTATGAGGGAACAGAAAGCCATTCTCAAAAGCGAACAAGTTATATTACTTCCATATTGCTAAAATAATGTAGCAAATACAAGTAGTCCTTTCTGTCAACCTATGAGACATTTCTTTAGGGGCAGATTCTCACCTGTCTGAGGTATAAGAAGAAGCTGGAATATTGCCCTGCCTCTGGGAGGTAGGAGAGAAATACTGTTATGCAGATTAGCAGCACTATGGAATCTTGACCCACTTTCTTAAGTGACTACGAACAAGAAAAAAGACAGTTGTAAGGTCAGAAACAGAACATTCTCTTCATCATTATTAAAAATATATATCCAAAATCAACACTGAAAGAAGCAAAACAGCTGTTAGTTAAGCTAATACATGGAACCATCAAAACATTTTCTTCAGCTCATTTACCACAGGTTTGCCATTACTTCTGCAAAGCAGCAATGGCAATAACAATCACCTCCTAAATTAGCTAAGGAACTCCTCAAACCCATTTTTAAGATCCTGAATAGCTGAATTAGCATTAATTCCATCCTTGACCCTAAAGCAGCAAAAACCCATATGCACAAGTTCCAAAACATTATTTCTTGAACATCTGAACAGCTTACTGCAAATGGGTCAGCTTGTTCCCATGAAATGGGTGCTCCCCAAGATGCTGGCCTCATCTTCTCTGGCAATGATTCTGGTACAGCAACAAGAATAAAACAAATATCCAACAAAGCTATAGCAGTAGCTAGGACCACTACCAAGCTGTCGCCGTAAGTTCGACCAAGGTAAGCACCAATAGCAGGACTGGTAACTAAACTTGCTGCAAAAGTTGCTGAAACCTACAAAAGAAAAGGGTTAGTATGAGAATATAAAATTAAAGTTTTTCACATGTATTTACAGCTACTCTTTTTTTTAATTCACTCTTTACAGCTTAAACTTTTCCAAAAGCTCAGTCACTGTAATGAGACAAAGTCAAAACAAATTTTAAAAAGAGTTACATCATCCTGAAAATTTCAGACATCTGAAGATTCAGAAAAAAACAGTTTTGACTAAGGCAGCAAATTATAACTTTTAATGCTGTCACTGTGTTGACATAAGATCAACCAACAAAGTTCACAGGTCTCAAAGGGAGGGAGAGACTCTAAGGATATCATTTTCTTTTGGGTCAGTAAAGGAAACTGCTTATTTTCTCTATACCTGCAGAATACTTGGCACTCTCTATCAAATATTTTATATTATACAAGGCCATGTTAATAAACTTATGGCAGAAGTTTATTACCCTCTTTGTGCCCAGCCTCTTACCCCTGCAGTGTGGACATGCAAATGTACTTATGTATATTGAACATGCAGAGTGGGCTATGTGTAGGTTCAGCAACTATTCGGCTGTACACATGCACACACCAATGTAAATCCCGGAAAAAGATGGGGTGCACCATTCTGGGTTTTAAGTGGAAGTGGAAGACTTAGCTCCTACATTGCATCCCCAAGAGGGAGTCTGAATCTGCATTTCTCACTTCCCAATTCACTGCTCTAACCACCACACCACAGGTTAGGCAGTATCTAGCCTCTTCTCGAGCACTCCATTTGAAGCTGAGCCACTGCACTTTGCATTTAACGGTCATCAGATAAAATGGATGGAAAATACTTCTGTCCCATTTACAGCAAAGGTCCAGGCTAGAACCCAGGACCCACTCCCTTCCAGGTCAGTTTCCACCTCATTGAGCTACATACCTGCTGGCTTGCTCTCTTCCTTGAGGTCCTATGCACCTCTCCCCCTCTGGGATGCCTAGGCAGCAAGTTATTTAAAAAAAAAAACGGCTAGAAAAGGGCCTGTATAAATGTGTAACTGCCTGTGGCATAACGGTTACAGCACAGGGAAGCTGGGTTTAGTTTCACACCAACCAGGGGAAGGATAGCCTAGAACCAAGGTATCCTACTTCTTGAGCAATACCCTAACCACTCAGCTACTGGGGTTAAACATGCAAGGATGCTCCTCCTCTGGCATCAAAGACCTGCTAGACATAGGTTTTTGTCTAGCTACAGTTTCATGACCTATTGCATGCGCTGGGCATATGTATGTAGCTGAAGACCTGCCTGACCATACAGGTGTATGCTTATATGCTCATGGCCAGAGTAATAGAATTGCAAACCATGCGTAAGTGCCAAAGAGACACTTATGCACCTGGAAAACTGCCATTTAGGTAAACAAAGGGGAACAGAAATCCATCCTCAGGGTGCAGTTCAGCTTTTGCTTCTTCAATGCAAACAACATTACCGGAACTTCAGAAAACAGTTTCAGTTGGCTTAATGTTTGTGCAATGTGCTCCCTTACAACTCGAGAATAAACTTACTGATCACAGAACAGAGAACAGAAAATGGTGAAAACCTCATAATCGAGCCAGAACTTAACTCTGATATGAACAGACAAAAGAGAGATTATTTACTTCCCATGTTCCTTATGTGTTGACCCTCCCTGTCATGACAGACAACTCTGAAAAGGCATTTAGTGATATGAGTGCCTGTTCAGCAAAATCAAGACAGGTACTATCAGAGACCAAGAAATCTACCAGGTCTAGATTCTAACTAGTGACTTGCAAGTGGATGGATCTCATTTCATATTCCCAGTCCTGTGAAACGTCATATTCAGCACCCTCTTGAATATTTTTTTTAATTTCATAAGACAGTTTACCAGAGCTAAATAATGCAAATCTGTTTAGTTTCTAACTTCTCAACTAGCACTTCACCAGACTGAGACTAATCTGAATCAGTATTTTCTGAAAGACAACAAAACAAAGTCCTCTAGGACTGTACCTACCAAACTGGCTTCTGCATTAACACTGTATTATAATCCTATTTATGCTAGTGCCTATAATGTACCAGGAACTTTCAACCTATTAAAGAAGGTGTTAACCCCACACTAGCAAACTCAATCCAAGTTAATATTGATAAACAGAAGTTAGGGAAAGTGAACAACAGAGAGATTCTTTTCTTTGTTCAAATTACATGACCAGAATGTAGCCCACAGAAAGTGAAGGCTTGGGAAAGAAGATTCTGCCACGGCCATACTAAACCGAAGCTACTAACAGGATATGCAAGAGGCAATACAGAATGGGGCAGAGGAACCAGGTTTCTCAGTCTGCCAAAACAGCAAGTTTAAAATGGGAAAGAGACCACCGCTGAAAAGTTAGTTTCCTACTGTAGTAAAATAAAGCTTTATTAACAGAACTCGTTTAGCTACTGACTCTTAAGAGGCTCAAAGGTTCAAGATATAGGATTACATACATACCAGTCCATAAGCCATACTTCTTTCATGTTCTTGGGTTATATCTGCTACATACGCAAACACCACTGAAAAAGTCACCGCAAAAACCCCAGAAACAGAGATAACAGCAAAGTACCACCTAGGATCATAAAGGGATTGAGAAGATTAATATAGAACAAACAGTGGTTCACAAACTCTATATGCACTTCCAAACAGATTGAAATATCTATGGTTCCTGACAAGCAGTTTAATCTGCACATAACTTCGCAAAGATACTTTCGGACTAGTTATGCTGCTTTCTCCTAAGTGAGCTGAATGCAAAATGAAATAGCACAACATGTCAGTTTATCAAGAAACATCTGGAATCAAGGTCCAGGATCTGCAGTTATTTAGACATCTAGCTGAGTGCGAGTGAAATGCTAAAATAGGACAGTTTGCAACAGATCTCAAATTTAGCTTCTGCTTTGGGTCCAGCAAATGATAACTACTTCACTTCACAGATTACTTAAAACCATATAAACAGTTAAAACAATCTACTACAGAGGGGAAGTGATCAAAAAGTAGAGACCATTTAAAATAAGACCATCAAATTCCAGGGCAAATTGAAAGCCTCAGATACAATACAAACAAGCCTGACTCTCAGCCTTGCATCACCAGTTCTAAAACAATTCCAAACCAAACAGTGCCTGTACAATTCTCCCAAAAGTAAGTATTAACCAAATGCAGCCACAAAACACTAAACAAAAAACCATAAAGTAACTAGATAAGCTACTAACCATGGGCTGATCTTCATTAGTGGTATTGGTGCACAAGTGAAAAAAACTGTTAGCAGCAAGAAGGACTTTCGTCCCCAAACATCAGAAAGAGCACCTATCAGAGGGGCACTGAGGAATGACAATAAGCCCTGAAAAATAAAATATGTTCATTAACAAAAAGCAATGAAAAGTGCAACAGATGGAATAATTAATTACCAAGTAACTGATTTTAATAAATATTTATTAAAATGTTTAATTTTTATTAAGCTAACTGCAAATGAGCTCACTTGCAAACATACTTAATCCTCTGTTCTATGCAAGTGTTACCTGGAATTTGAATTTTAGTTTTACTATCACAGAGTAACCCAAAACTTAAGATCAAAGCCAGCTATGTGATTTTTTTTCCTGAGAAAAATGCATTTTTCTTTTATATGTGCCGTATTTACAAAACATATTATTTTCCAAAACATTGGCAAGATAAGGTCCATCTACCAAATTAAAAAAGTGGGTACCAAAGATTGTGTGTTTTGATTCAAATCAATTGTATAATCTTAGCCTAATCAGCTAGCCTCTTCAGTCTTTGGTCAACCCAAGTGAAAGATTTAAGCAAAACAAGAGTTTACTGAAAACCAAATGCTGCTATCTGAGCTCTCCTATGTAAATATTTATTCTCATATTTTAAAATCACAGCTTGAAAGCTGGTTTCAGAAAGTTCTAATTATTCCACTCTTCCAACAGCCATTTGTGTTTCCCTCATTAGTTTAAATTATCTTAAATTCTATTCTGAATTGAATTTATCCTACCTTTACTCCTTGGATTAGGCCATTCATCAGAAAAGTATGCTTTGGGAATGTTTCGTGCAAAACCTATGAAAGAATTATGAACAGTATATTGTTATGCATATTTCATAATACTAAATATTTAAAGACACACATGCTATGTATTATGCATGCTAAATGTAAGATGGTATACCAAAACTACCTAATACAAATGCTATAATATCCACTATAAAGTTAATAAAATTCAACTGTAAAGTATCATTATTAAAACTTTCCTCCACAGCAACAAAATAGTCCAAATTTGCTGTAGGTAACATTAAAGTTGTCATCCATGGTGTAAGTCAAGCTACATCAAATATTTTCCTAAACAATAACTGGTGTATTTTTCCACTTTTTGCCACAAGGCTGGCCAAAACTGCTTTAATTTGACAAAAGTATTATTAATACAATGAAGGCAGAATGCTGTTGAACATTTTCCAAAAGGTAGAAATCCTCCATCAATTAGAGCCAGTTTGCCTTATGGTAATGCTAAGCATACATTACCTTCTTCAGGTCTGGTTTTCCATAAAGAACATGACCTTTATAGCGTGGAATACGGAAACAGAAAACAGCTACCACAGCAAGATACTGGATAGCAGATATATAAACTGCACAGCTAGTTTGAAAACTTCTTAAAACACATTAACAGTGCATCCACACATGCAAGCACATGTGCTTGCAGCAGCTCAAATAGAAGTGGTGCAAATTTGAGTTGGGGCTTTTTGCCTCAGTGCACGTGCCCAGACATGCACTTTGGTGTCAGGCAAACTGTGCCACTTGGGACAAAATAACCCTCCCCAGCTCCTCCCAAATCTGCAGTCAGGAGCTAGAGCTTGGGGCCAGCACAGGTGCTGGCCCCAGCAATATAAAAACCTGCCCTAGCAAGCAGCTCAGGGATACTCCTTCTCAGGAGCTTCTGCGGCCCAGCCAATTGGTATCTGGGGACACTACCCCTTGTGCCAGCTGGACTGCTGCAGCAGCATCCCAAATCCTTTTTTTTAAATTCCCCCAAATCCATGGTGATCCACAGTTAGAACAAAAAACTACTATACACACCCCCACCCCCACCCACACACATATATACACACATGCACACGCATATATATGGAGAGGGATCAGTTAGGCAATGCTTTATTGATATACTTACAATATTAAAACAATTTGGAAGCCTACCAGTATCTCTATCATAATAAAATATATTCTAAATATTTATGTGTGTTGATGCGTGCTTTTGGTTTTCTTTTCACATGATGGGTGTGTGATGGGGGAAGATGTGGGGTTTGCAGGGAGGGGGTGAGAAGAGGTGTGGGGGAATGTGGGTGGGTGTGGAGGGGTGCAGGTTGGTGTATGGCTAGTTGTGGGGCAATTGTGGGTGTGGAGGGACCTTGTAGGGGGACTGCTCAGGAGGGGTGTGTCCCCTGCCCCCACAGGGTGCAGCCCCCCTCCACAGCACATGGACTGCCCTCCCTGCAGGGCCCCAGCTCCACCCTGGAGGGCCACAGCACCGCCCCCTTCCACAGGATCCCAGGCACCCTGCAAGGCCACAGCACCCTCTCCCCATCCTGGAGGATCCCAGGTACCCTGCAGGGCCATAGACCCCCCCCCTCACAGGGCCCACAACTTATCCCCAGCAGCAGCACTGGGAGTGGGGCACTCAGAGCCCACTGCTGTCAGCCTCCTCCCCGTGGCGTGGCCCCGAGCAGCTTAGAGCCAACACTGCCTGGGCTGCTCATCAGAGACCGGTGCCACTCACAGGGACTGCATGTTGCACCGAGCCGGGCTCTGAGGTGGCTTGCACTACCAGGCCAGGCTGGTTCCAAGGTGGCAGGACCCAGCGCAGTGCACAGAGACAGTGTACCGAGTCAAGCCGGGCCCTGCCGGCACTGGGGCCGCTCACACTGCCAGGCCAGGCCAGTTCCATGGCCACAGGACACAGCTCAGCATGACACACGGTCCCGGCATCCTGCGCTGGGTCCTGCCACAATGGAACCAGCCCAGCCTGGCAGCACAAGCTGCCCCAGTGCCAGCAGGACCTAGCTTGGCCCAGTGCGCTGTCCCTGCACCGGGTCCTGCCTCCGGTGGCAGTGCTGCTTGCCCCACGGGGTCTGTGGGGAAGAGGCGAATGGCAGGACCTGGCCTGGCGCAGCTTGCTAGCCTGGCTTTGCACCCAAGTGGCATTCACGGCTTGGGGAGGTATGGCTCTTGTGCAAATGCATACTAGCTGCGCAGCCAGGGCTGGACCGGGTTGGGTCAGACCGGCGAGGCATTTTCCATACGGCTCAGGCACACTTGAGCCTCACAGAAAAAGTGTCTGCTGGCCCAATCTGCAGTTAGCATGCATTTGCATAGGAGTTGTGCCTCCCAGAGCCGCACATCTCTCTCCAGTGCAAAGCCAGGCTAGTGAGCCGTGCTGGACTGGGCCAGGTCAGGTCCCACCGTGCGCTGCTGCAGGGGCTGGTGCTGCAGGGCCAGGCGTGTGGCAGCCCCCACTTGAGCCCCTCCACATACCCACCCATTGGGACATTCCCCCTGCTGCTCCCCACACTTCCCCGACATTCCCTGCCACTCCCCATAGCCAACAATCCCCTCCACTCCCAAC